CAAGAAAGCGCTCTGTCAAAACTAATTCCTTCGCAGTCTGTATCTCTTTCACTGCTCTGATAGATAGCTGTTTCAGCACAGGGATTGCACAAGGAATAAAAGCTAGGCCTGCCACAGCCATATCAACAAGAATAACATTTGCTTAATCCAGCCGGATCCAGGCAACCAAGAAAACCACCTGTCAGTTGTTTGTAACCTCTGACTTATCTTGGATGCCCTATCCTGCAAATCCTTGGCAACTTCTCTGACCACACCTGATTTATTCACATAGAAACAACAATCTTCTCATACCTCCTCTCTCTGCGGCCACAAGGTCTAAGGCATGTCGATTTTGTAGGACCACTGCTGCCAATGACTCTATCTGGTCTTGGACTTCCACCAGGGTTCCAGCAATTTGGTTCAGGCTTTCTTTTGATAATTGCTGAAACTGTATTACTGAGTGTGTTAAACCACCTATCCCTGTACCCACTGCAGTTCCTATTCCCATGATTACTAATAGTGGGACTAGGATGGGTACCCGTTTCTGAACATGCCCCATGAAAGGAACAGGGATGGTATGTTCTCCACTGACAACACCTATTTCAGGAAAAAGGAGTACTAGTGTGCATGTTCCGGTCCAATTTGTTGGCAAACATAAATACGTATCCCTTTCACATAAGAAGATTTACGGAAAAGGCATGTGATCGGTTGTTCCTTGCATTAGTCCAGAACCCCAAAAGCCCCCACCACAAACATTCCCGTCAGCGGCTGGACTTTTAGTGAAGGGTCCTTTTGCTTATCTCCGAGGATTGGACCTTCAAAAAGATACCATTTTGTGATGATGGCAGCTGGTGGTGATGAGAAAGTGAGTGGTGTGCAGAAGGAAAAAAAGATCTTTGGTTAGTTTTACATCCCTAAGGTTCATTCTAGGACCAAGGTACACTTCTGATGGACATTGTTCTTTTGTCAGGGATCCAATAGGCCTACCAGGTTTCTGATGTCTCTACACACAGGGAAGGTGACCCTATGATTTAACCAGGTTTCGACCCAATTCCAGTATCCCTGATATGCAATCTCTTCCCTTCAATTATTGTGGGGGGCCTTCTATTCCCCCCTGTACCGGGATTGTTAAACTCTTAACCTTAGGTCTAGGAGTTGGTTTAGGAATAAGGTACCCACTCCACCTTCTGATGCCACGTTGTTGGCGGGAGTGGACTTGACCCAAAGTGTCCCCATTCAGTGTCTTGATGCTGCTAGGTCCCCTGGGATTCTTGACATCTTCAAATCCTTCCGCAGAGACAAGGGGAATTTCTTGAACATCCACACAACCTGGGGAACTACTGTTCAAGCTAGCATCACTCACTAGACCCTTGGCTAATACTACCCACAACCCCAAATAAATCATAGTGACTTTATTCCCACACCCACAAGGCCTTAAGAGCGCAAGACCCGAAGTTTACAAGTTCACCATGTTAGGAAGAGGGTTAGGGATATGTGTAACTTGGGGTAGGGCACTATCAATTGTATTAAAACAATACCAACAGAAGGGCTAAAGTAGCTGTTGCCCAGAGTCCCCACACCCCAATCTTCCTCAACCATGAGTGTTTTTAATAAGTGCTTACTGGATACTATCACTGTTAATGGGTTTTACATTACAAACTACAGTCATGGAATGTTGTCTTCCTCCATTCCAAGCTTCAGCCGTGCGTAGAGAACCAGCTTCCGGGGTGGTTCAGCAAAACTTGACGATCACCACCATGCATTGAGAGTCCGTTGCCGGTAGGACTCAGCAGGGTGTATTTTTCTTGAACCTCAACACCAAGGGCTGGTCAGTTGTTGTCACCTGGTATGTGGCTGGATCACTTTGGTCTGCGGGCTTCAGTCTCGTCCATTGGATCCAGGACTGTCCTCCTAAGATCTTAAAAGCACAGTTACAAAACTAATACATCTGGGGGAGAGCGCAAAGGGATCTGAGCAGTTGTAGTCCTCTTCAGTTGGGAAACAGCATAGGCAACCACTCAATCCTTCCACTCCTTTGGGGCTGGCATGGGCCCTTTCACTTCCTTCCAGGAACATCCAATCATCATGGTGGAATTTATGGACTGGAAACTTCAAAGGTGGTGTTTGGGTTAATAGTCCTTGTTTCCTAAAAACTTTAAAATATCTGGACAGTTTATACATATATTGTTTCAATACTTTGTCTCTGGTTTCCAGAAAATTAATGCATATGCTTCCTTCACCTTTTTACAAATCAAACATTTGTTTATAATTGATGTTACTAAAGGATATATCCCAATACAACCATAGCTTTTTAAAAGTTCATCTACATAGCTTGAATTCCCCAATGACTCCACCCATATTTTGCCAAATGAATGCACTATCCCAAATGCATACAGTATCCATCATACATCAGCATCCCCATACAGTCTCTAGTATCCCCATACAATATCCAGCATCCCCCCTCCTTTTTTTTTTTTTTTTTAATTAATGTGCCGCCCTTCTCCGGGAGACTCAGGATTATAATGCATTAAGCAATAGCCTTCATAAAGTCAGCTTATTGCCCCCACAAACTGGGTCCTCAATTCACCTACCTTAGAAAGGATGGAAGGCTGAGTCAACCTGGAGCCTGGTGAGATTCGAATTGACAGTAAGTGCAGACAGCTGGTGTTAAATTACAATGCATTTGTCTACTGAGCTATCCAGGCTCCCTGTCCATAGAGCTTAATTTAATGAATACCATTCAAAGGTTTGAGCAGACCAATTTCGAGGCAAACCCCTTGTTTCCAGGATTTTTCCGTACTCCCCCTTCCACCCTAGAGGAACCATTTATACAAATTGCTTCTCCTTTCTCCAGGGGGTGTTCCTCCAAATCAGGTCTTATTTTTGTTTGTAAATCAATCACTTCAGCACCATAATGTTCTAATCCAAACTGATCCATTGATCTGGTGTTGGCTAAGAACTGTGCTTGATTCAAATTGTGATTTGTGGTTACAATCAAGTCTGTCTGCTGCATTAAAATTGTTTCATTTGTGTGTGTGTGTGTGTGTTTTCAAAGAGATTGAATGGCTTTTCCAAGTTTGGTAAACTTAATACAGGAGCCTTGTTCAAAGCTTGTTTCAAATTTTCAAGGCTGCCTCTTTCATGTCCCTCCCATTTCAAACTCCAAGGTCCAGATACAATTAATTTTGCATAGAACTATCTTAATTTTTTTGCTTGTTTATAGATAGGGGCTGAGACGCTACTCCTGTCGGAAGGAAAAAGAAGACTTTCCCTTTAAGGATTGTTGAAAGGCAGAGCTTTCCCTTCCTGAATTCAAAACTCCCGGCTGGGAGATTACTTCGAAATGATTGGAGGTCAGCTGCTTGAGAGTAGAATCAGTTTATTGTTTCTGGGGAGGCAGGCAAGAAACAAACACAAGCACAGCGTTTCGAGGCTAGCCTGTCGTAACTGTAAGAGTAACCATTTTACCCTTTTCCCCCCCCAAAAAACATCTTTTGATTTGGCGTGTGAATTCTTTATTTTGTGTGTGTGTGGTTTTATGGTGGTTAAATCCTGTCTTTGTTTGTGATTAGGTTCTTCTGTCCTGGATCTGGCAAATAAGTAATAGTTGTATAGTTCACACTCTGTTTTTCCTAACCTTTTGTAGTTGTTCGTTCCCTATAATTATTCAGCTTGCCATCTCCGTGTTTTAGTGAATATCTCTCTTTTATAAACAAATTAGCTCCTTCTTCGAAAGGAACAACAACTTATGCTGCTAACAATCAAACAAACAAATCTGAAATATATCAAACTTTAGTTTCAATTCTCTGCCTTTAGTAAAATGCAAGTCAGATTAAAAAAATCTTTCAAAATCATTTCTTTTATATAGGTTTAATTAAGCGTTTTAAACCTCAAAAATTTTCAGAAAAAAATAAAATCAAAATTGTATTCAGAGCAGAAAAGCTTTCGTATGCAAATTAAAGAGATCAGCAGCAAAAACCACATTAGCCGATCTTTCCCCCTCCTTTCTCTGCTCTTTCAGCAGAGAGAGAGATGTCCGCTGAAGAAAAAAAAATCCAACAGCCCACCCTTTTCCTGCTTCTCACTTCCAAAGGAAAAGAAGGGGGGGAGAGGAAAAAAAAGAGTTTTACAGCAGGCAACCAAGCAGGCAACCTGCTTCATTCAGCATTCTTCCAACAAAGCAACACATTCTGCATTTCTCTCTAACCTCCACAATTCACAGACATTTCCCACAAATTATATGAAGGGGAATTAAAGTGCATTTTCACCAACTTTTACCCTCAACACACTTCACATTCACACTGCAATCAAACTGCATACACCAATCTCACATGCAAAAATCTCACTTCATGCAAACCAATCATTACAATTATTCAAGCACAAATTTACTTAATTTGCTGGCCAGCCAAAAATATCACAATCAATTCCATTCAAATTTACACACTATCATTATATATATATATATATTTATATATATATATATATATATATATATATATATATATATATATATATATATATATATAACAGAAATCACACCAAATTGATCAAGTCTTCCCATTTAGACAGGCTTTCCTCTTTACGGCCTGCTAAACCCCGGGTGGGAAGACTAGTAAACAATGTCTTTCAGAGTTCTCTAGCTTTTTAAGAACGGCAATTTATCAGAAAATTTATAACACTGCAATTAGTTCTTTTCTCTTACCACACATAAGATCACACTTTTTTTTTTACAAAAACTTTTATTGCATAAGGTTTTATTTCTCCCCTTTCTTTAGTTTTCATCAAACAGACCCTTGCAAACTCTGCCTGATACTTGAGTAATTAAGGGTTTTTTTTTCTTTTAGTCTTCCACTGATCAATATTTATTACCACCCTTCTAACAACACTACCCCTGGCTCACGACGCTGGACGTTCCGACAGTCGTCTATGAGAACCGCAGAGGTTTAACCACCCGCACAATCCCACACAATACTTAATTAAATACTTTAAATACTTAATTCCAGAGACTTCAGGATGCCACCTGGTCTCCAGGTGGGACTCGAACCCACAATCCCTGGCTTAGGAGGCCAGTGCCTTATCCATTAGGCCACTGGGTCTCCAGGTAGGGGGTGATCAGGCCCCTCTTCCACCCCTTTAATGGGTGGGGTACCTCTAAACAGAGAGACTTTAACTCTCTGGTTTATACTTACCTGTTTTCTTTTTCCTTTTTTTTTTCTTTCTTTTTTTCTTTTCTTTTCTTTAAGGTCTCTGTGTCTGGCTAGCCTTTAAGGATCCTTGACTAGCCTGTTTTGCCAGCGGTTTATGGCACCTCCTCACCGAAAAGTTCCATGGACTTCAAAGGAGTCCTAATGGCCGGCCAGTGGATTTTCCTTGGGGAGGCGTCGGTTCCGCTGGGGCAGGCTGTCTGGCAGAACAAAAGTTCTTTGTTCTCTAGTCCCATCTGCCAGGGTGCCATAAATGTAGTGGAATGGAAGGACTAAAAAACATTCCCAGGCCAGTCAGAGACAGTTTATTGCGCAAGGTTCAGAGCCAGATTTGTACCTGAAGCTTTGAACAAAGAAAGAACTCTGATACAATGGTTTTTATACATTTCTAAGACAAAGGATTCAGTGAGATCATACATTTTCCATATATGGTTAATCATGAGATCATACATCCGATTTTCCTTCTATGGTTACATCCACTTGTTAATAAGTTCATCTAATTACTTAAAGCATTAATCTTAGTTTATAAGATTATTTTAGCCACACAACTTTTCTTAAGTGCTCAGAGTTGCTAATGGGAGAGTTACTACTGTCCTTGGGTAAATTCATTAGATTAAGTAACTCTTTGTAACATATAGGTCTTTGTGTCATTCACAGTCAGGTCACTTAGATGTTTTTCCATATAGCAGTCCTTTCTGTGACATCTAGGTATCAGAAGATATATTACCACTTAAAAGGGTTTAACTGTTTGTTAATGTAATTTCCAACAAGCACTTTCCTCTCTTATAATAATGTGAATAGATAGAGTCTCTCAGAGTTCATGTATCTAAGCACGTCTTCCCTTTATAATAATGTGAATAGAGAGGGTCCCCCAGAGCCCATATATCTGACTCTGTATGATTCCTATTTTATTCACATTATTTCTTTTATCTACATTATTCTTTATTTGCTCTTTACCTCACTCTTACTACATTTTTCTCTCATCCAGAATATTTCCCAAGAAGATATTTCATACACATAATTTATATCTTTAGATATATTTTGGTAGGATTTTAAAAATTAAGAATTATATCTTTTTCAGTCTTGTTTCCAGTCAGTCTGGCCCCTAAGTCTGTTTAAAATCTTTCCAAAAATCCATATTCTAATCATCCTTTTGCTGCTTATTTCCAAATTAAAAAGAGTTTTTCTTTAAGTTTTAAATATACATAAATATTCTTTCACTGCAGGTTAAAAAAATTATCTTTCAGAATGCTCTTAATGTCCAAAAAGCAAATTATAAGCATTTCAAATAGAAGTGATTAAGAGAGATGGTTGTTGACCCCAGTGTATTTATGAAAGGCTCTGATAACAATTTCTTTCTTATCTTCCCAAGATCTAAACCCCACTGTAAACGGTTATGTAAAGGTCCTGTCATGGATAGTATGGAGCCCTCTAGGTGATACCAAGTCGTTTCCTTCTCTAGAGGGGAATTCAGAAACTGATTCCATAATATTCCACTTTTTTACCACAATCATTGGCTCAGAACACCTGAAGACATCTTACTTAGTTATTATTCCTTGGAACTCTCCCCTTGTAATCATGGGATTAAAAATCAAAGGGAAAAAAACCCAGAAGGAATTCAAAGTGGTAAATATACATGTTGTTATTGAATACATGAATAATGGAATTTCTTTTTGATCAGGACTAAACAATGAGGCTTTAAAGAGCTGTTTATAAATGGGGAGAGATTTCTTTTGCTTTATTTCCTAGAGAAAGTGGTAAATTGAAATACAAAATTGATTTGTTAGATTAAAATTAAAATATGATATTTTATTATTTCTGTTAGCTCTTAATAGTTTTGATAATTAAAATTAAATATTCAGTTTCTATAATTTGATTATAAGGATGAGATATTGGAAGAACTGATCTTTTTTAATTGGAATATTAGAGAAGATATTAAGTTACTGAAGATACTTATATTTGTCTGAAAAGGGAGGAATTATTATTATATATATTTCTTATGTTTTATTTTTTCTATCTTTTTGTACTCTTTCTTTACTTTACTTTTTGTATTTTTCTTATTTTGTATTACTTTTTATCTATTTCTATGAAGCGCCAGAGAATCAGCCCCCTGCTGCTTCTCTCTGCAGCAGAAGATAAAAGGAGGGAGCCACAGCAGAGGGATAAAAGAGCCACATGCAGTTTTAGAGCCGCTTGTTGCTGCCCCTTGGAGGTCTTTTAGTCCAATCCCCTGCTTAGGCAGAAAACCCTACACTACCACTTCAGACAAATGGTTATCCAAGCTGTTCTTAAAAACTTCCAGTGCTGGAGCATTCACAACTTCTGAAGGCAAGTTGTTCCACTGATTAATTGTTGTAACTGTCAGAAAACTTCTCCTTAGTTCTAATTTGTTTCTCTCCTTGATTAATTTCCACCCATTGCTTCTTGTCCTACCCTCAAGTGCTTTGGAAAATAGCTTGACTCCCTCTTCTTTGTGGCAGCTCCTGAGATATTGGAACACTGCTATTATGTCACCCCTAGTCCTTCTTTTCATCAGACTAGACCAGGGGTCTTGCTGGGTCTCATGGGCAATGGAAAGGGGGATGGGCCTGCAGCACCCAGCCACGGCTTTAAAGCTCGCATGGGGGACTTTCACTGCCCAGACATTTTTCTATTAATGCCTCTGGAGGAGTAAAGAAACTCAGGGCAGCAGGAAAAGGGGGCTAGCCCTGCTGAACCTCGCATGTCCACCCTAGGGGTCAGGCTCAGAGAAACCTTAATCCATCAGCCGGTCAACCCTCCTGCCCCACGCACCTTCACTGCACTTTTGCCGAGACTGGCTGCTTATTTGAGGAGGGTCTCCCCACTCGTGCACATCGTCACCAAAGATGCTCGCCTGTCAGCCAGTCAATCTGCCCACCCCGCATGGCTTTGTTGTGCTTTGGTTGAGCCTGGCCGCTTGCTTGAGGGTCTCCCCTCTCGTGCATGCCCTTCTTGCCCGCCATAGCCTGCCAGTCACGTGAGGAAGAGGAGGAAGAGGAGGAAGGTTGTCTTTGGGGGCCCTCTACCATGGAGACAACACCTGGGAAGGTAAAGGTCACAGTCAGTTGGGAGCAGAAGGTCCCCATCCCCCTGGTTTAGCTGGATGCTTGTGGTAGAATTTGCATTAGTCTAGGCACCTTGACATCCCCACTAGAAACCCATGATGCATCCAATAGGGGAAATTCCTTCCAAAGGACAAGGTATTGCAACCATCCTCTATGTCACCGGGTGTCCAATATAGTGTGAACCTCATAATACTGATCCCTGCTCACATTGATGGGTGGAGGTGGGCATGCAGGAGTTTCTCTGATACGGGATGGCAGGACTGGCCGTAGTAGGCTGCAGTGGAAGACAGGATACATTTTATTTATTTATTTATTTATTTATTTATTTATTTATTTATTTATTTATTTATTTATTATATTTATATACCGCCCTTCCCCCAAAGGAAGGGCAGTGAACAGCCAAGATCAAATACATAAATATAAGAGTTAAAAACAATTTAAAACCAGATTAAATACTTTGGCTCACAATTAAAAACATTCCATTAAAATCCAATTTAAAACCATTAAAATTAGGCTAGCCCAGCTTGCTGGAATAACAGAGTCTTCAGGGCACGGCGGAAGGTGCGCAAGTCCGGGATCCTCCATACCTCCGGAGACAGCTTGTTCCAGAAGGCAGGAGCCCCCACTGAGAAGACTCTCCCCCGGGGGGTCGCCAGTCAACATTGTCTGACTGATGACTTCCGGTTGGCTCCCTGGACCTCCGGTTGGCTCCGTGCGCCTCGCAGACGCTCCTCCGTGAGCACCCGATCCCCGGCATTGTAAAAGCCGCCAGAACAGCCGACAAACAGCTGTCTGGCAGTTTGGAAACTCTCCCCCCAGGCAAAGGGGAGAGAGGAGAGCCGACAGGTGGAAATAGAGCTCCCCAAGTGCCCTAGGAGAAATTCTGGGGCGCGAAGGGTGAGAGCTCCCTAGAAGCCTGTCAATCTGCTCCGGACCTGGGACGACTCTGCTAATTAGCAGGGCAAGAAGCCGCGACCAATTCTGCCAATAACAACTGAGGGGAATTCCAACTTCCTAAATCGCTGCAGGCAGAACAAGCCAGGAGAAGTCAGACTGCAAGTATTTAAACTTAACTCCAATGTTTATTACCTCCTTCAGAAGTAACAAATTAGCAAATTTGCAACAAGATGGTGACTGAGGCTTGAAAGGGCGTGGAAAGTGAAAGTTAAAGAAAAGTTTCATTTCGCTGGAAGCCTCTTGCTTGAAAAGAATATTTGTACTGAGAGAAGGAGGATTTTAAGACAACAATTTAAGATTGGCAAAACCTTTGACTTTGTTGAACTTTTCTTTTTGGCTTCTGATCAAAATACAAAGATTAATTAAAACTGAAAAATGGCCTCAAAATCTATAAAGACTGTTCCTATTAAAGGAACTGGGAGTGCTGGAAGCTCCCCAGCCCACACTTCTAGATTGCAAGCCTCTGCCCCCCCAACAGATCCACAGACTTTAACGTTTGAAATGATACAAGAAGCCCTAAAAGCCACACAGGACAAACTTACTACTGTGATTAATGAAAAAATTAATGAAACTAATGAAAAAATTCAGTCTGTCTCAGAGGAGATTTCAGTTCGGAATCAGCAAATTAGGGAAGATATATTATTGGCGTTTAAAGGTTTGGCAGGTCACATTGAAATTTTGGATGATAAAGTTGAAGAAATTAAGCAATCTACGGAAATTTTGGACAATAAATTAGGAGAGACACAGAACAAAGTCGAAAAGGCTGAAGCTGATGAACAATGATTCAATACAGAGATATGGAATTTGCTTTAAGAATAAGAGGGTGAAAGAGAACAAACAAGAGAATTT